TCTAACAGCAAAAGGCAACATTTCGAGAAGCTTTTAATTGAGGCAGACCTAACTCCCATTCTGGTCACTCAAAATATGACGTTTGTTCCCACTCCGCTTGAAACTCATTATTTTCTAGTGCTTCAGTATTTTGGCTAGGTTTTTTGGAAAAGGCCTATTCAATATATTGATGAGCCAACGGGGACGTTTTGAATAAATGAAAATGTTTCCTTATGAGGTAAGGACTGAAGCAAAAAAGAAGGGAAGCTTGAGCGATTTGCTAATCGCTAAGTTTCGAAAAGCGTACGCATAACTCCGAAGAGGTCAGAATATTGCTCCACGTCTGCTGCTTTCCATGGGCACCTGAGAAATAACAAAGCTCCAAGACCAGGCCCGGATAAAGCCAAGCAAATGGAGTGGTCAGCAGTCCCGAACAATCCCTGGATCGCTGAACAAATAAAAGGTGTGGCTGCAAATTAACGTCGATGTCTCACACTTGGTTGATATCGAGAATTCTGTCCGCAAGCTTGTGGACGTTAGGAACGTACGATGATGTTTTAAGCAACAAAAGCTTATCTAGATAAGAGTGACTCGTAATTACCTGGAGTTATATCCAGAACTACTTTTGGCTTTTCGGTGTAATGACAGTCGAATCACCCTGATTGCGGCACTAACATCACCAACAAAACCAATAGATCATGGGGGTTGCAGAATACCACGTGCAGAGATGAGTTAAGCAGACATTGGAAAATGAATGTGGTCTTTTCGTCAGAATGATTCTACCCGTACACTTTCCAAGGGAACCTCATCGCGCTTACAGATTGAATTCGTTAGCCAACACAGTAACCAAGTCCATGAGAGAAGTATCAACAGGTTTGCAGATATTGATAATCCGTTTCCACGAGCTATCTAATCGACCATTAGAGCCGGTATTTTCGCAGAGCCTGTGTACAGCAGCATAAAATTATTGTTGATTATTAAAAATTGCCTCATCGGCTATGTTACAAAAATGGTTGATGCCAACTGGACAATAAAAAAGAAACAAGAAAGCGTGAAATTTTATGAAAGGAATAAAACATAGGGAGACGTTTAGGAAAAAATCATACATGTGTTGCTTTAGCGCTGGCAGATAGGCACCGCTAATATTGAGAACCTCTCCCACAGGATAGTTCGGGTTGCTTTCCGGTTCGGCATCAAGGTAAGCTGTGATTGGCTAGAAGTCTGGACCAAACGGTCAACTGTGATCCGATCTTCCCCAAATGCAGGTTGCCTATGATGCATCCAGAAGGCGTCAAAAACTACAGAATGTTGTTGCCGACATGACGTCCTGTACAAGTGATCTTGACATGGTCATGGGAGTTGTGCACCTTCGGTGACTGTTTTGACGGGAAAATTCACATGAAAGCTTAAGACCCAGAAACAAGCTGACGAAAGTGCCGCTATTACAATTGAAGAATAATAATCAACGTCAGACCAATTTCGTCAACTCAAATTATCACGGCAGCAGTAAAAGTAGTTTGACAAAGGGCAACTGGAGCTCACATAATCACTGATTCTGGGACTGCACATCGAGACAGCATTTGCAAGTACCAGTTAGTCTTGTGTTTCCTCAAAGGATGCAGCCGTGGCCTCAATCCGGGTGCTCACATTCTTTCACATTCATTCCTTCAGGTCACAATTTTGTCTTCACTTCAACCGGTAAGATGACCTGTTTAAAGCGGATATTCTCAAGTTTCTTGATGGATCAAAAGTCAGAGTATTCTTGGGTAAGCATGAACGTTACATAAACCTCACTATCCAAGCAACCTGTTCTTTGACGAAACGGTCAGAATTCTGCGCGAAACTCTCGGAGATCAAACAGCACTGCTTAATAACCTCATTGTGTTAATAAATATACTTGTATCAAGTTTGGCGGTGTTTTCAGTCGGGATTGCGAGCGTTTCACGTTTAGTTCAATGACAGAGTTAGTTTAAGTGCCTTAATTCTTCATCCAGCCACCCGTCGGCCCAAGATGCTGGCTTCAGAAACCGTCTGCGTTATAGAATTAGACGGTATGCTAAAATGATGTCACTCACTACCGAATGTCAGCGCTCCACCGACCTGAAGCAAGACACGATCATGATCGGCAAATCACCCTTCCCTCCCAGTAGCTGTGCACACGTAATCAACTGGCGTACTAAAGAAGTCTGAAAAACCTTTCGAACAACAGAGCGAGCTTCAAACATTTGCTGGCGTGCCAAGAGCATCGATTATTATGTCAATCTCAGAGGCCGCAGGCACCCCAGCGCCCCATAAAACGTGGTCCAAACTGGTAACGGAGACATTATGTGTTGAAGGTACAGGACCATCTAGTTTTGCGCGGGCCAACGCTCTTCTTCTATATCTGTCCAGAATGACACCGCCGGCTCGAAAAGTAGAGGCAGCAGCTGGCACACTGATTAATAGCTTTGAGCCGTAGCGGATCAGTGGCAGGTCGGAACTGAGCATCGCCTTTAGCCTGCAAAATGCTTCCTCGTACTCTTCTATCCAAAACCAGAAAACGTCTTTCCCAAGCAATTGATTTATTGTGAATCGAATGTTGTGAAGCGAAGGCAAGAGTGTCGAATAATAGTTGACGAACCCCAAAAAGGAACGCAAAAATTGCCGGGTCGATTTTGACGCCAAACGGGAGACGAGTGTGTTGATACAGTCCGTGATGTGTGCTGATTGTCAAATGTGGGCGTGATTCTGGTGTAACTTCAACTTCAAGATAAGATTCAGCAACGTAGCTTTTCGCAAGGAACTTTCCAACGTTCCGAATAGTGAATAGATCGTCTAGCACCGACAGTGGATAGTGGTGCTGCCGGAGAGCGGCTTTTAGGCTGGTTGAGAAATTAGCACATGTGCGGATGTCACCGTAGGGTTCCTTTGCCATGGCTATCGGCGCTGCCCAGGCGGAGTTGGATACAAATGGTAGAACGCCTTGTTCCTCCAGCGGTTGAAGTTTGGCGTCTACCAGTGGATGTGAGCGGGACTGATCTCTCTGAACGGAAGTCTGGCGCAGCACTTGGCACGGGGCGATTAACCTTTTGTGTCGCAGTGCACTGACTAAGGCCGGATTATTAAATCGGATGTATGGTTTTAATGCACAGTGAGAGACTTAACTGTACTGTGAATGGCAGTGATTGGAGTGTCGGCCAACCCCAAGCAACTGAACCAACCAAGACCACTAAGTTCAGCCCAGCTGCCGTTACATACCACGACCGCATGAATGTGGTTCCTCAAAAAGGTGCACAGCGTAAGAGCTCGCCAGTAAATTTTGGCTCTCCACCACAGGCACTGGAAGAAGCCCGGGCCGGTCGTCTGATCAGAGGTTGCCCGGGGGTGCGCAAAGCTTCTCCGAAATGATGGTAATGTCCAACGCAACGTCCAACTGCAGACGAACTGGATGACCGTTGAGGTATTGTTGGGTACCTTCGGTGACCTAAGATGTTGATCTGGAGGGTCGGCGGCAAACTTAGAGAGGGGCCAATGGGGCCAGATTTTAATTTTGGAAGTAAACGTGATGATGGTTCTGAAACACCGGAGGCCACTTGCATTCGTGACCGACAGTACCCATCCATGTCCCATTCGGACTAATGTTGGTGACACCGATGTCGCTGGTAGCGCCAAGACCTGAAGAATTGCCAGGCTCTACAGTGCCAATGTTGTGAATGTGGCGTCATCTTTGGGCCTTTGTTTTGCTTCGGACGAGAATACCGTGGGACCGAATTGACCAGGACGGAATTGGCAAGGCCAGGCTATTGCGTGACCTGACGGAATGCATGAGCTTCTGAACCGCCATGCCACCCAAGCCAGACCAAAGCGTTGTCATACTTCAGGCTAAGCAATCGTCGACATCCCGAGGTGATGGCCTTTAGGGTCGCGGACCGGTCCTGCTCGATGCGGCCGGGGAGTCGAGTAGTGATTGCTGCAACCTACGGGGATTATAGACCGCACATGCAAATTAGCGATTCGAACTGATTTCCGCTAACTATATGAGTTTGCGGTGCTCAGATTTTGCACAATGAATTAAATTTCCAAAAGCTGTTATATGCCCTGGATGGACTGAACCAGATACGAAATTGATAAGTGAATACCATTGCAAGCATTAGACCCATGCATGGGCGTCCCGGGGGCCCAGTGCCGTCAGGACAGTGTTCCACCAGAAATTTTGTTGGAGGAATTGACAGTGAGATTGGGTGACCTGCAAAAATACGAACGCAGATTAAAATGGTTTTTGGGATGAGTATGTACGCAACACAAAGCAATATTTTGATGTAAAAATTCATTCCATTCGCAAACGTTTCACAGCTTGAAGCACTGTGCGGCCGAGGAGCTCGTTTTGGTCCCTAAATAAGTGAGACACGCCCTCGTCATTTTCCACAGCGTTAACTTTGGCTACGGATATTGAAGATTGAATGTTTTCCGAATATTTTCGAAAGCGTGTGAAGCATTTCGTCGAAAATGGAGTCACATCGGTCCTTCAAAATAATATAGTTAGCGTTATGATGATGCTCTGCAGGGTAGGAGGCCAACCTTTCAACTATCATCCTGAAATGAAATAAATCAGCCCTGAACAGGTTTTCATAGCGACGAAGCCAAGCATCGGACGGTAAACCACCCAAGTGTTCAAAGCAAAATTCGTTGATGACGTCGGCGATCCAGTCACTCGACTGTCGGACACCCGACACAGCTGGTGAAGCCAACGATGTAGATGATAGTTGCCCCGTAAGTAATTTTGTGAGTTGCGGTTGTTGCTCCTAACATTACTTTGAGTTGATCTGCCTCAATCTTGCGTCGGAAATATACTGTTTCAATAATGCAGTGAGCGAACGAGAGTGTGAGCATACTGTAACGATGTTCTGTCCCCGGCTGCATCCATGGGTGCACGAATGAGGTCGCGTGTGGCCCGCGGATTCTAGGGCCGAAGTCTACACCATTCGGTCATACAACTGACAAGTATACAACCCTCTTTAGCTCTAACTTCACCGCACCCAACAATGCATATGGTTGCCGAATTCTGCCATCGAGACATCGATGCACACATGGCTCCCTCGTTATCGCCAATTGGACTAATTCGGTAAGTGGTGGGTTTAACTTTATAACAGTAAGTCGCCAAACTCAGCGAGGGAATGATGGACAGAGGAATCTGTTAAGCACTTGATGAATTAGCCACAACAGCTTTGCCCAATTATGTGTTTTAAGTGATACCGGGGAAGGTGTGTGCGAGGCATAATTGATTACGCATTGTCTTCAGAAGCCATGTCAATTAAAAAACCGAGAACTGGATTGACCATACATTAGGTTTGTACCGATGCAACCAATAAATAGAAACACGATTTGCCAAACGCGGCCGCATAACTTTCGGCATGCTATTGGCAGGTGGACGGCGCTTGGATACAAAGGACTGCCGTTGACCGTTGGCTCAGTCTATTATATATGGTTGGGGCATTATAGTCGCGTCTGCCTATGCCCCAACAACACATTTGGGACTCTGACCACGGGCTCGTCCGGAGTCGCTTCGCCCTACGTTTCCCGGGGCCGCATAATGTGCGGACAAATCGCCTGGGAACTTAAAGACTGACAGATCCGGATGTCAGACGAACTTACAAGAATCGTCTTCTAGAGTCTCTTCCAAGTGCTCCACCATCAGATGTGAACTCATACTGGGAC